TAGGACTCTTGAGAGCACACGGAATGGGTGTTCCCAGGCAAGCACTATTGTGCACAGTGTTAGTCCTATTATTGACCAGTATTTGTTCAGGAAATGGTTGGCATTTAATCACCTCACTGTCCAAGGGAATGAAATAGAGGTGGCACACATTGTGATTGGACTGGCCATCTTACTTTTCAAACCATCTCTTCCTTATCATCTAAGAAAGCAGGAAGGCCCTGGAACAATGCCTGCATTGCAATACTATCCCCACTTGATCTTATCCAAGGGTGCTGTCTTTGTCACAGTCACCATGGAGACCTGATCAAACTCATGCACAGGCACTTGATCTTGTAATCTGTCACTGAATAGTGGATATTCTTTCCAAGACCAAAGAACAGGAGGTTCTTAACTGAGTTCTTGTAAGGAAACAGAGCTGTAGAGAAATGTTTAATCTGAGTCCAGTACTGAGTAGGACATTGGAAATACCCTAGATTAAAGCCTTATTGTTTGTACACAACTCGGAATGTTTAAGTCTTGGAAAAAACAAAGTGTATCTCATGTATTAACTACTCCATTGCTGCCAAATTTTCCAAGCTGTTTTGTTTAACAAATATTTACTGAGCGCAGTCATACCTCCGATTTGGACTATGAAGATTTGAAGATCAAGACATGTACTTGGCCCTCAAAGATCTCAAACACTGGGATAGGCACACAGAGGTAAGTTGACCTTAGGACAACATCACATATACCACCATTGAGCCTTGTATGTGGGGTACTAGAAAAAAGCCCATCTCTTCTACAGACGCAGAGAACACTTTACAGGTAAAGTGCCATTTGACATGGCTCTTGAAAGTCCCCAAAGCTCACTTTTCTTAGCAAATGAAGGGTAGACTTATTGAAGGGTTGAGAAATCACAGAAAAACTAACAGGAGGGATAAGAACCAACCAACCAGGAAAAAGGCTTGGTGGAATGGAAGAAGTCAATTAAAATTAAGATGGAATGAGCCAATCTCTGAGATACTGTATGAACAGTGTGATGGTAACTCAGCCTTAGCCAATGGGAACTTTTCTAGAAGGAATACAAAGCAATTCTGATTGGACATATCTTTAGCCACATGCAGTGGGTGGGGAGTAGAAAATATGTCATCTTATTGTGGGTAGACACACTGTCAGCTGAAAATAGGTGTGTGCATTATACTGGGGACAATGGCAGTTCTTCACACACACACACACACACACACACACACACACACACACACACACACACGCAGGAGTGGGCATTGAACCCTGGACAAGGCACTTGACCATTGAGCTGCATCCGCTGGTGCTATGCTATTTCCTTTGGAGAGATGATGGGGTCTTGAAAGGTAAGAAAGGTTCTTATTGTATCTGTGGTATCCAACAGTGTCATGTACACACTGCATACATAGATACATATGATGGGTAGAAACAGAATTTCACTCTTAGGTAACTTTTCATGTCCTTTCTCCCTATGAACTTAGCTTCTTACACTTTTGGGTGTTCAAACTCATTCTTATTAAATTCCTGCCACTCAATCCTGCTCAGCCTAATCCTAGGCTTTTGGACAGGTTTGCAGAACTAGACACAAATTTGCTATGATCAGGTCATAGAGAAAGCAGTTGGTTGCCCCACAAAAATCAGAGGGACCTACACTTAGAAAAATCAAATTATATGTTTTATATATATGACTGTTTCACTTCTGTGTGTATGTGTGTATCATGTGCATGTCTGGTGCCTCCAAAGGTCAGATGAGGATGTTGGATCTTCTGGAATTGGAGTTATAAATGGCTGTGAGCTGCCTAGTGGGTTCTGGGAACCAAATCCAGGTTCTCTACAAGAGCAGCGAGTGCTCTTTTTTAATTTAAAATTTAAGAGAATTTCATACATGGCTGCTATCTTTTCTATCCCTCCCATCCCAATTTCTCCCTTGTCTCCCAATAACTACCTCCCAAAACCTCTTCTTTTCTTTTTTGAGACATATTTATGTATTTTATATGTTTAAGTGGTTTGCCTGCATCTATGTATTTATCTATGCATCTATGTAATCTTTCTATCATCTACATAAGTATCTATCTATCTATCTATCTATCTATCTATCTATCTATCTAATCTGTGCACCACGTGCATGCCTAGTGCCCAGAGAGACCAGCAGAGAGCGTCAGATCCCCTGGATGGAACTAGAGTTACAGAAGGCCGTGAGTTTGCTCACTTTATACTATGAGACCCAGTCCTCAGAGAGAAGGCTTCCAGGTCAGTTTCAGATTGATTCCTTCAAGTCCTGTGTCCAAAGTGTGTGGTGTCTTCAGCTGTATTATTACCTTCAAGTTTGGGGAGGTAACAAAGGACAGCACCAGAAGTCTCTTGGATTCTGACTAACAACTCAGAAGGAGGCTTTGGAAGTCTGTTGGACTCTGTCTGACCAACAGCTCAGAAGGAAGTTTTTCACATCTGGTACTAGGTATTTTGTTACTCTATGACTCTTGAGGGAAGCATTATCACCCAAAGTGGTGTAACTCCATTTAAACCACACATATGTAATATAGGTATATACATATAGTTACATTTATGTATATTATTCATGTATTCTTTTTTTCTTTGGTTTTCTAGACAGGGTTTCTCTGTGTAGCCCTTGCTGTCCTTGGAACTCACTCTGTAGACCAGACTGGCCTCAAACTCACAGAGATCCACCTCCTGTGCCTTCCAAATGCTAGGATCAAAGGCGTGCACCACCACCACCTACCTGAATGTATTCTTTTTAAAGGTTTATTGTATGCACATGAAAGTTTTGCCTGCCTGCATGTCTTCAGTGCCCCATTATGTATGCATTCTTAAGCAAACATGATAGAGTTTAGAAATACGACAAAAGAAAAGAGAAAATGGCAACTCTGGTGCATCCTTCAGTGCATGGCAACTTTTAACTAGAAAAGGAAAAAGTGGAAACACAGAAAAATGCATTAATTAGAAATATACTAAGGAAATGGAAGATCCTAGTGACACGGTGTTTGAGGCTGGGAAAACAGGAGATTAGTACAGTATTGGACAAACAATGGAAAGTTCAAATCAGGCTTGAGGTCAGAGGCAGTTATTTTATGGCAAAGACAGTGTTGGGCTTATCCATTTTGGCCTCATTTATACCTTTCAGTTTTAGCTATAGTCATGCTTTATTAATAATACTTATCTTCTCTCTCTTTAGAGCTTAGGCAGAAAATCCATTATTTATGGTTCAATATTCACCATTTATGAGTAAATAAAGAGATTTGCATGGCCATATTGAATATGCCACTGTGAAGTAATCAGTGATAAAAGCATTTTACAATCTGAAATGAGAGACATTTCTCTTTTTTAACTTACATTAGAGACATGACATTCTGTATTCTATCCAGATTCAAATGACTCAATTCATTCTTTATTGGTTTATCACTGGTACCAAGGAACATTTACTTAATTAGCAATAAGCAAGATCAACTGAAAATTTTCAACAAGAGGCACAGTGGTTGCATGCCTGCAATTCTAGTACTCAGGTGGGAGGCTGAAGCAGAAGGACCATGCATTGGAGGCTAACATGAGCAACACAGCAAGACCGAGGATAAAACAAAAACCAACCATCCACCCACCCACCCACCCAACCAATCAACCAAACCAACTCCAACCAAAAAGGTATGTTAAAGTTTGAGTTCAGGAAGTTAGTGCCCAATAAGGCATTATGGGAAAGTAGTGCAAAGAACAAAGGGAACAAGCAGGTCAGAGCTGCAGTTACCCAGGTTAAACTCCCCCAGCTCAGGGGGAGGAGTCATGTATGTAACCTTGAGTAACCCACATTTGATGTAAGGTGTTAACTGACCCTCCTCCTTTAACATCTCACTTCCCTTTTCTTTAGACAAAAAGACCTACCATAGTAGTGGTCAATAATTTGAATTTTTTTTTCAGAATGAATTAGCCCTAAGATGTATTGACATAGTAAACACCCCTCACTTTGGGAAGCTTTGGGGATAGCTTGAGAGTTTCAAATTGAATTATCACCTCACCCTCCACCCCCACCATTCCCCAAATTCTGTATTTAATGATAGTATTTTTCAGAACCTCTTTGGATTTTACTGGAGACTACACAGTGTAGCTTTTCCCTTCAGTGTTTATGGACAATTTTTACCGGCAGATGTTTGAAAGATGAGATTGGAATTAATCCTCATTAATTTTTAATACATTTTTGTCTTCTAAAAAAATGCTGAGGAAAAGAACCAGTGCTCAACGTACTAAGTGATAAGGAAATGAATAGGACCCCTAGCGGAGCAGATCCCCACCTGGGGCGCCTAGTGCTGTGTCTCTGTACTAGTTTCCCCACCGCTGAGATCAAATACACAACAAAAGCAGACAGAGAGAGGAGAGGATACAGTTATTGTGGGAGTGGTGGGAAGGCAGCTGGTCACATTGTATCCAGTCAGGAAGCAGAGAGCCAGAGATCAACGCTGATACTATGCTTACTTTTTCCTTTTCATACAGAGAGACCCCCAGGAGACACCTAAACATACAAGTCTCTTTGTGTCTGACAGTTGATGTAAGCTCCTTGGTTGTCTTGTTTTTTGTTTTTTGTTTTTTTGCTTGTTTAATTAACTGATTATTTTTTGAGACAGGTTTTGCTGTGTATGTCAGGCTTGTGTGAAACCCCAGCTTTGGAGAGCCTGGAACTGGAGAGTTTCGTGTCAGCCTCCAGAGTACTTAATGGCACCATTATGCTCAGTTCGTTCGTTCATTAATTCATTCATGAACTTATTCATTCATTCATTCATTCATTCATTCATTCATTCATTCATGCATGCATGCATGCATGCATGCAGATATGTATACATTCACGAGACAGGAATTCTGTGTAGCTCAGGCTTTCCTCCAACTCCAAATTTCTCCTGCCTCAGCTTTCCTAGTGATGAATACACAGGCGAGCGCCATAATGCTCAAGTTATATTGACTGTTGTTAATTCTCGTGTTAAAGAAAGAAAATAGCGTCTGTTTTAAATATAGTTTACTTGGAATAATTTTACAAAGAAAAGTTAAGTAAGGGGTGTGTGCTGAATTCCCAGGCTAACAAGCAAACGCAATTTCTCCAGCTAACGCCAAGGGGCACCCTTTCCTTCCCTAGGTTTCTGGAACGCCTTGAGCTCTCCATCTGCACAAAGAGCCCGGCCTCCTCCCGGGTGACATCACAAAGGGCCGGTTCTCCGCCCCTTCGGCGCCACCACGTGTGTCCCCAAGCTGAGTGGCCACCCGAGTCAGTCCCTCGCCAGCTAGTCTGGGCAGCGGAGGAGGCGAGTGTTTGGTAGTGGCTGGAGGCTTCGCTATGGGAAGTCGTTCCTTCGCTGTGTCTCTGTCAGCCCTGCTCCCTGCTTCTCCACAGCCGCTGTCGCTGGAGAGCACCGGGAGGCGTGGGTTCCAAGCGCGCCTGCTTCTTCTCCCCGCCCGGGCGCCGGCGCCCCTGGGCAGGTGCTGAGCGCCTTCCCGAGCCTCCCCTGCCGCCTCCCTCTTCCGCCCAGCCGCCCGGCTGCTGCAGTGCACATGGGCTGCTGGAGGTAGATGGGCTCCCCGCCCGGGAGGCGGCGGTGGATGCGGCGCTGGGCAGCAAAAGCCACCGATTCCAGCTGCCGTGGGGCCGCGCGCTCCGGGCGCCCCTGCGAGCCCCAGCCTCGGCCATGGGGACCTCGGCAAGCAGCATCACCGCCCTCGCCTCTGGCAGCCGCGTCGCCGGCCAAGTTGGAGCCACGATGGTCGCCGGCACCCTTCTCCTGGTGAGCGATCGGAGGGAGCCCTGGGGTGTCAGTAGCGTTCGAGCTGATGTACGGGAGCGGGGCGGGTCCCCGGCCCGTAGTGCCTGAGGCACGCGGTGGGACCAGCAGGATTGGAAGATTACAAGGCAATGGCCAGACCGAGGGGGGGCTCCTTCTAGATCATTTTTTTTTGGGGGGGGGATAGAGGGTGAACTACGACTGGGAGTGTTAGCGAATTATTTTTCTTGCAATCTGGCTGCTTGGAGGAGGCGCGAGTGGTGGCCGCCCTGGCGTCTTGAGCATTTCAGGGCTTTTGCCCCCTACCCGGCCTACCTCTCGCCCCAATACCTAGCCTCACCCCAGTATCATCCTCTGCCAGCCCCTCCGCGTGGTGCGAGGCCGGAGAAATCCTGTCAGTTGCCTGCGGCCGGTTGTGGCCACCGCTTTGTCGCTGCTGCAATGTCATGTCCGGATGCTACCGCAGTGGAGACAGCGGGACCGGTGCGCTCCGGACACGAGCAACCGCTGCGTGTTTCCGCGCGCCGGGCATTCCGGAGTAGAGAGCAGGCCGCCCTTTGCTCTAGCCTCCTTGCTTCTCTCCTCCTTGGCTCGGATGGGTCCTGATTTCTGCACGCCAAAAAAAGGAAGAAGTAAAAAAAAAAAGGGACCCAGAGAACCCATTCTCAGGCGCCTCCAAAGCACCGGCTCGGAGCCAACCGGCGCTCTGGCTCTCCAGTGAGGGGGAGGGGGAAAGAGCTACATAAAGGAGGATTAATTTTCTCCATCCTTACTTCTCCTTTTCTGTGTTTAGGCATGTCTCCACTCAAGATGATACGGGCTCCCTCAGCGCCTAAAGCTGGGGCGTGCCCTGAACATAGTGCTCCATCACTTTATCTGACTAAAGCCTGACATCATCCCTTATCTAAAACTTACCCGAATTGTCCCTTTATTCCCGAATATTGGGGCCAAGTAGGGAATTGGGTGGAAGATATTTGAATTCAAACCCTTGAGCCGTCATAAACCAGCCATGCCTTTTATCCCTGCAGGGAGGATGAAGGTTGTTAGCTAAAAACCAAACAAAAACAAAAAAGAGCCTGTTTTCATGGTTGGGCTGTGTAAGGGAAGGCAGGCCTCTTGTCTCCTTCCCCTAAAGGACTTACTGCCTGGCCAGCCAAGATCTTCTGCTTCCCTCTCAAGGCATTGCAGTTGCTATGGCCTGGGAATTCATCCTACAGACACTCCCCTTCCCACACCCTGTGTGTTTGTGGGGGGAGAGAGGAGAGAGAGAGAGAGAGAGAGAGAGAGAGAGAGAGACTGGAGAAAGTTTGTTGTTTTTAGCATTTATAATGAGGCAAATCTTAGTACTCTTAGAAGACTTTTTTTCTGGCTGTTTATAAAAACAGCAAAGTCCAAGTTTGTATCCTTGAAACAGGCAGTCAGGGAGTCCTTTGGGCAATGAACTTGAACTGACAGCCTTCAAGTAGAGTTCATGGGAACACTGGTCCTAATGACTGCAGTTAGGTCCCTTGCTAAGTTTCCCTCTAAATAGGATCTGTTACTCTGCTCAGCACATGTTGTGTGGCCCTGCTCCACATGATAGTCCATTCACATGTTCAGTGTGTAGCATTCGTATATTTTTAACTACTAGCATGAAATAGGTACTTGAAGTTCTCAGTCTCTAAAAATGTATGCTTTTTGAGTCAATCTCTGAGTGATAACACTACAAGGTCCCTTGATCTTTTGGTACCTATAGCAAAAAGGCTTTAACTTTAATTGATGGAGTAGCAGAGGGGTGGCCTGATCGCCCTGAAGGGTGACCTCTGAGGCATGCCAGGAACTATGTGATAAGGTTCTCTTCCATCTCACTCTGCATGCCCCAGTCATCAGGACAGGTTTTGTTAATATGTACAGAAGTGATCTGGTGACATTGTTCTCAGGAGAACTTGCCCCACTGGTAGTTTTGGCCACGTTAATGACTGACACCAGGTAGGATAGCCAAGTAAACATGGGATGAGGTACCTGGTAGACTAATGGGGTTGGAGGGAGGTTACTGCTGCGCTCATACAGTGTGCTTAGATTAAAGAAAATCATGATGCCAATGAAATGTCTCACAATGTCTCTTAATTGCCTCTCCCACTTTTTTCATAGCAGTCTTTGTTACTTTTGTGACACTTTTATTGTTATTTCTGTGACACTTTTGTTTTTTCTTTGCAAGACAGGCTAAAAGGGAGCTTACCATAGGCTCTGATGTAGACACATATTGTATGCTGTATAATATGATATATTTGTGTGGCTACTATATGAGCATGTGGAGAGAGCAGCAAGGTATTTTATACACAGCATCTCACCATCCCTGCCATTCCACAGGTGAGAAGATAGAGTCTCCAAGAATTTTACTGGTCTCTCGTAGGTCACGGCACATGGTGACTCTGACATAGAATTCCTTGGCTCATAGTCTCCTTCACCCATGTACCACACTGCTTGTTTCACAACTTCGACTTGTTTGATGACAAAGTGTAAAGACAGAGCAGGGTCACTGGAGGAAAGCTGAGGTGGTGGCTTGGTTAGTTGCAGAATATAAGTGAGAATTATACAAGGGCCTTTGGAATGAGTTGTTCTGCTTGCTTGCATTTCTGTTGTTGACGAGGTGACCATGTCATGCTTGAAAGTTACACACAAACTGAGAGACAGCATACATGTTCCAGGCTTTCTGTAAACGAGATTTTCAGATTCCTGGTAGTTTTGGGACTGTCCTAGCAGGACTTGCTCATGTAACACTAGATTCAGTCAGTCAGAGGTGCCCATGTCTTTAGGAAGCTTGTATTGACTACACAGACTAATTGCAAGGACCAGTCAAGGCAGAAAAGAGTCTTCCTTGATAAAGACATTGGGTCTGAAACTTTGGAAACTACCATTATTACCCCTGGATTGAGAATTCCTGCATGAAAGGAGCAGAGAACATAGCAGAAGAGGGAGTGGAAAGATTCTAAGAGCCAGAGGAAGAGAAGTCTGCTGTGGGATTGTTTTTCCTAGAAATGTCAGGCAAGCTTCACTCATGAAGTCTCAACAACATGGCTGCCTAGATAGGACCTGCACAAGGACAATACCAATAGACATAGTAACATGGAAGGTGGCAATCTCATGGACAAAGAATTAGAATTATGGGCAACTAAGAAACATATATGTATATAACCTATGTAAGGGCAATTGAAAAAGAGTCCATGAATTTGAGAGAGAAAAATTGTTTGGTACGTGGGAGGGGTTGGAGGGAGGAAAGGGGGAAAACTATATTTAATAATTCTATTTTAATTTTAAAATAAAAGAATTCCAGACACAGGGCCATTTGCTTAGTGTCTTGTCCAACTCTCTGTCTATCCCTCCTTTTTCTAGGCAGTTGCATCTCACTGTATCTATCATGCCACTAGAAGAAAAAAACTATTCATTATTATTATTATTATTATTATTATTATTATTATTATTATATTTTGGCTAGACATATCACCAAGCTATCTGCCTACAGAGTACCAAGTGTTACTGTTAACCACTGTTACTGAGTTCTTCCTTCACCTATCACAGTAAATGGCTACCCCCTCTAGACAGGTGTGTGTGTGTGGGTGGTCTGGTTGGGGCTCAAATCCTTAAGACTTGGTGACAAGTTCAAATAGAATATTGAATCAGAGCTGGCACTATATACAGGGATTTTTCTCCTTTTTAAATACTTTAAGTGTACCATCTTAGACTGTGGAGCTGGAAAGGAACCCAAACTGCTACTGATCTCACACCCCACACAGCTTGGCTGAGCGAAAGAACAGCCTACACTGAGGAAGTGACTATTTTTCATGCTATCAAATCTACACGGTGCACCCTTTCTGAGTGAGGTGTCGTCCTAGGCAGTGGAAGTGCAGTGATGGAGGGGGATGAGAGCCTTGTCAACGCTAGTTTCTGTCAGTAGAAGTGATGGAGTTCACTCCAGTGGGATGAGTGGATGAGCATGCCAGGGTGGATGCACGCATGCCACGTTCACATCTGTAACATGTCGCAAGTAACTTCACCATTAGATTCAAAGCCAGAAGAGGAGATCACTTTGATTTTGGAAAACTTTTCAATCTTGGGATAATGTAACAAACAGTCTTAGTAGGGGAACTGGCTTGTGGGAAATTGGGAACAAGGAAGAATAAGCGACTCAGAACTTGTACTGCGTTGGACAATTCCCGATTTTACCCCATGAGTTATCCGTACACCTGAACCAGAGAATAGGATCAGGGTTTCTCCTCTGGACTAAAGATATAGGTCTGGCTGTCTCTCAGGTCTAGTCACAGACAGACAGACAGACAGACAGACAGACAGACAGACAGACGGACAGACAGACAGACAGACAGACAGACAGACAGACAGACAGACAGACAGACAGACAGACAGACAGACAGACAGACAGACAGACAGACAGACAGACAGACAGACAGACAGACAGACAGACAGACAGACAGACAGACAGACAGACAGACAGACGGACAGACAGAATCTCCAGGACTACTAAACTAAATCTACAAGAAAAGTATTTCTTCAAATAAGATGTATACTTAGAATAAAAAATAAAAAATAACCCTCCGTAACTACGTGTGTAAAGATCCGACAACTGCTTACATTACACATCTGGACAATGTCTGTCAAGTTACATAGAGCAAGAATAGTTAATGCCACATTCTTTTGGGTAGTTTGCAAGCTGCCCCCTTCCCCAGTGGTCATGAGTGGGTGTGGCTTCTTGGCTGGGTCTGGAGAGTTATAGTTGTTGGAGGCTGAGGTTTGGAGACATCACACCTTGACTCTGCACTTGACTTCATCTTGAAGAGAGGCAGAGCCTCCTGGGAAGCTTGGTAGAAAAGTTGCACATTGGTTTTGTGCTTACTCAGCTAGTATGTAAACTGTAATTGGCCTAAGTAAAGTTCATTATTATTTTTTTCTTTTGGTGACGGGAAATGGTGAGACGAGTCGTCACACTATGGGGGGTGGTGTGGCTGGAATGAATTGGGTGATTTTCCCTTGTATAAACAGCTCTGCCTATTTTCCAGGAGGCACTAATAGTCTGCTGACCTTCTCTCCCGACACATGCCTGGCAAATTGTGGTAATGCCAACTCACCACCAGCAACTTCTTGGCAAACTCGGGTGCTTCTCCTCTGTGCCAAGAGGAGCCCAGATTATCTCAGAGCTTTGGTGGGTATCCAATGGTCGTTTGGAGCTGAGTCCCTCTGGACCATGAAATGCAGATATGTTTGATGGACGGAATGACAACTGAAGCCATTAATAGGGACAGTTTGGACCCAGTTTTTTTTTTTAATTTATTTATTTACTATGTGTACAATGTTCTGGCTACATGTATACCTGTAGACCAGAGAGGGCACCAGATCTCATTACAGATGGTTATGAGCCACCATGTGGTTGCTGGGAATTGAACTCAGGACCTCCGGAAGAGCAGGCAGCGCTCTTAACCTCTGAGCCATCTCCCCAACCCCTTGGTCCCAGTTTTTAATCTCCATGGAGTGTCAGCAGGAGGCTGGGCTTCCTTGCTACCACATGAGCGACTGCTGAGCTTGTGTTCTTTAGGAATTGGGGCGAGATCATGAATCAACACTGGCTTTCTCAGTGTTTATATTTGTCAAATACCTAAAAACCAACAGGATCTTCTATTGACTTGAACGTTGCCACCTGGTTGGACAGTGGTTATTAACCTGGGGAAAGCTGGCAGAGGTCCAGAAGAATGGGTGGGGCTTCTGCTGATGGAGAGACGGACTGACTGGTGATCATGCTGTTGCTTGAAGGCAGGTGTGCAGTCACTGTCTGTGAGGTGTGTTGAAGTTATGTTTGTGCTGGTGTGGTGTCAGTGTGCCGACTTTGGAGATGACATGTCAGTAGTGTTGGGAAAGTTGTACTTGAAGGTTCTTGGGGAGGTGTGGGATGCAGGAGGACCTGGGTAAGTTGGCAGGGTGTTGCACTGTGTCCTTTCATCTTCAGAATATTTGAAGACTGTGTGTGACTCTTCTCTGGACTGAAGCAAATGAAAAGAATGGAGATGCACATGACTATCCAAATTGTAGCAAGGCTAGTGATCTATCTATCTATACCATTTT